CCTGCTGGAAAAAACTAGCACGCATTCCATGCTGGTCTAAGATGGTTTATGCTGGTTTATGATGATCAGCCTTTTAACTTCCATTACTGCTGATGAGCATGCAATCATCCAAAACAAGACAAGCTGGTGAGGCTGGTGACCAGTCATGCAGGCCTACGCTGTTTTTTTCTAGCAAAGACAATCGTTTTAAGGCTTGCTCCTCAGCCTAAAGCTGGTTTATGCTGGTCTGGTGCTGGTTTAGCAGGTCTTCCAGCACAGACAAACACAACATATACTGATTTTGCTAATGACCAGCTGTACTAATCTATGCTGGTTTTTCTAGCAGGGTAGTTGTCTGTTGAATGTTGTGGTGATGCTCACATCTGTCACATGAGTTGAATCTGTATATTATTGTTAACAACATAATCCATGGTAGTCCTGGTATGAGGCTGAGCTGTGTCTCACCGAGCTGTGGTTTTTGGAAACTGCGCAGCTGCAGGTGCAGCACTGTTCACAGGACCCACGTATGCACTCAGGCACTTATACAGTCCGAGGGCTCCCCCCAGGGGTGTCTGTGCATGTGCCTTCTCATAGTAAAACAGTGATTTTACCACCATTTTTTTGGTACGGCAAAAGGAAAAAAAAAAATTAAATCCATCTGTGTTTCTGGTTTAAATTATGGTTTATAATGAATTATTTTATTAAAGATTGCTGCCTGGAGTTTTGCTCGTCTTAATGTGTTCCTTACTTTCTTCCATGTTGGTGAACTCGTTCATCTGGAGTTCTGGATGCTCAACAAGAGTGATGTCTGATTGAATCACTATTTGCACATACTTTTGGATTGGAATATGTTTTTCAGACACCCCACCCCCACCCCCCTTCTGCTTTGTGAAAAGATATTTCACAAACTTGAATGGGTCTTCAAAGTAACATGTTCTGGTTCTTTCTTCTTCTTCTTCGTCGCCGTCGTAGATTCTCAGCTCACCTCAAACTTGTCAGCTGGGTTTTGACATCTTCTTCATAAAGAAAACTATTTCCTTTTCATACTCTCAGGCTTTCTTCCACTGCTTTTGTAGCTGTTTTTTTCTAGAATTAAACACTCCATGTCCTGCTGTCCTCTGGACTTGCACTCTGCTATTGGCGCCTTCAAATTTCTCTCGTTCTTTTTCACTCCATATCTTCAGGTTCCATAGTCATAGAGAATGTCTCCTATTCTATTAAGCTTCCTCTCTACTGTACTCCTCAGTCCTTCATTCCTTATAAGGAGATAATCAGGTGTGTGTTGATTTATTACCCATTCTGAAAGATGAACACGTTGTTGTTGTTGTTGTTGTTGTTGTTGTTGTTTCATTTTCTATAATTTTCTTATTTTTAATACAGCTTGAGTCAGCTAACATACAGATTTATATTTTAAGATAAATGTGTTTCTGCCATGTTCTACTGTGTTCCACATACTACGTGCTCATGTTTAGGCTCTGGTTTTATACAAGAGGATAGTTCCTCCAGGAACTGATGAAATGATTAACACCCGTTCTGCTGTCTCTGATGCTGCACTTCACCTTGGCCTTGCTCCCAGTTATCTTTTCCCTTGCAGGTATTCTTGGCTGCGCAGGCTCCATACACCCCTCACCTACTGTCTCTGTGCTTGAGTGTACTTCCTCAGATACACAGGGCTGACATCCTGCAAACTTTGCTTTGACTCCAGTTGCTGGACTTGAACTGACTTGAACAGTTTTTAAAAAGTACTGATAGATGTGAGGTCCCTGCAGGTAAAAGTGGCTCAAATCTGATCTTTTTCCTCATATGTGACACCGATGTGTCATCTGTGTGGCAGTGTGAACAGCAAAAAACGCATTGAATCTGACATTTTCAATTCCGATTTGAGACGCTTTCATATGTGGTACTGAAATCTGATACGCATCCGATCTGCGGCAATGCGACTCTGTCTGAACAACCAGATCGGAATTCATGCAACTTTTACGTCAGATGTTTCTGTACCATTTAGTCTGATGTTTCTGTACCAAAAAATTGAAAGAGACTCATCAAACCGCTCCGCGTTCAAACGGAGCTGCAGCCGAGGCTGCAGCGTCAGAGAACAGTTTAAAGAATCCGAGGACTCGAACCAAAGAAGTGGCCAAATAATAGGCCATTTTTCTGCGAACTCGAACACACATCAGATCATAGATTGTGACAGTTGTCACATTTTTTTTGTTTTCTCTTATGGTAATTCCTACCCCATCCACTAAGTGGCAGCATTGTGAGAGAAGATCAATTTACAAGCCAAAAGGGGATCCATGAGGTAGCATGGTAGGCTGGTGGAAACGGTTAGCTCCATGCCTCACTGATGAAGACTCTTGTTTGAGGAACCTGTAGGTTCATACACTCTTTTTCTTTTGTTTGTTTTGATTTGTTTCTTTCTCTTGTTGCTCACCTTTCCAACAACTGGTATTTATCATATGGACCCTGGGGATAAGCTCAAATACAATTTGTTTGGACAATATTTCATCTCTACATTTGGCTCACATCGACTCAGAACGGGGACCACTATAGCTATAATTGTGTATATATTGTGTTATTTTCTCTCCTTGTTTCTGTTTTTTGGTTTTGAAGCACTGGGTACAGGAAACAGGTTAAAACACTCTTCGTGGATGGTAACCCCCTTTTCTTTAAAAAAAAAATCTGGTAACGTGTTTACAAAGCCGTAACCGTTACAAGATATTCTGCCTGGTTCCCATCTGCACTGTACATGCCTGATTCAGCTGATCTGTCTGCATGTCTATAAGAAGAAAATTCTATTGGGAGCTGCTGCACATGGCAGGCAGTAACTCCAGTTTTGTCAAGGACTGTAGGAACAAATAGCTTTCTCTTTATGAGAACATGTGGGACTCTCAAAGCATTTGAATGAGCAGCTAAATATATTTCTTCTGGTACATGTAATGTTTGCTGTTTATTATGTGTAATATGTTACAATTCGTATTATCATTATATTTTTCTCATTTCACAATACTGCATTTTTCCAACACCTACCCCATACTTCCGCTACCTGGCCACTTTATTGGAAACACTTACCTTGTACGTTATAGATTATGTTCAATGTTGATCAAAGATGTTGAACAGCACTGTGAAGTCATTGTGAACACACTAGACAGAGCCATACATTTTGAGGAGAAACCTGAGTTTATTCCAGATGTTGTTCAACAGACACATTAAACGAGAATGATCTACCACCCAAATAGGGTGAGGGTCCATAGGGGTCCTGACCACTGAAGAACAGGGTAAAAGGGGGCTAAAAGTATGCAGAGAAACAGATGGACTACAGTCTGTAACTGTAGAACTACAAAGTGCACCTATATAGGAAGTGGAGCTGATAAAATGGACAATGAGTGTAGAAACAAGGAGGAGGTCATAATGTTATACCTAATAAGTGTATGTATAGACATGACAACACTTTAGCAACACTTTAGCCCTTTCATCAGTGACCCTGGCTCTATTTGGGGTGAGAATCAGGCCTGAATAGTCTCCACTGTTGCAGCTCCACAGCAAAACTAGATTTTTAGGTAAAATAACAATCCTCCTTTACTGTAAAATTGTTCAAACACACAGTTTTAACAATAAATGGTCTTAAACGCTGGAGTTAACACACAACTGCTAATTCACCAGCCTTTAACGCTGAAGACTGACGCGCCGACTGCTCGTCACACAGCAACACAGATAACTAAAAGACAAAGAGAGATTTGAGACGAACATCGATAATATAGAGAGATGAACTGTCAGCAGGAGTCGTCATACGTTTAATCTGCAACAAGTCGCAAAGCTGAAGGTGCTTCTCATTCTCCTGCTTCTTGTTCGAATTTTCCTGTTCCACCTTAAATAGCGCAGCAGTACATTTAAGGTGGAACGGGACAATTCGGATGAGAAGCGACTTCAGCCTCGTTAAAAAGTCGAACACTGAGAGAAAGCCGCTACAGCTGAGCTTAAGGTTAAAGCAGAGCAACGTAAGTCTATTTTTGTTTATACTATATTTTTAGCCTGAACTATCAGCACATACTGAGACTTACAGTCAAGATGGTAAAACGGACATAAAATGTTGTGGCTCCCAAGGTGGTTTCATTTTTGTTAAAAGGACAAAATGGCTCTTCTTAACATTTCGGTTGCGACTCCTGAGCTAAGCCTACCAGTAAGGGGTGATCAGTGCGTGCCCGTTTGCTCGAACTGTTTGCGGCTCAGTCAGGATTGCACAATCGCCACCAGCCCAGTTAACGACCGCGCTCTGTGGTTCATTTCGCTTGGATTGACTTTAGTCTGTAGTGAAGATTTTCGCTATAGCTATAGAGAAATTTGTAGGCGCTACAGCTACATTTCATAAAACTGTTGCGGCTACAGCTATTAGCTACAAATATTCATAGCTAACCACAAAAAGTAACGCGCTACTTAGCTACTCCCCCATCCCTGCTCAATGGTCCTTTCTTTCTACTTTCTTTCTTCGGACTGCCAAAAATCTGTTGCGCTTGGGTTTTGTTCTGGCCACAGGCCACCCCCCTTGGGTTGGAGCTAGTGCACTGATTGGTTCTTCTCACATAAGGGTGATTAGCTATTCACCATCTCCAATTCTGGTGGTATACAGCCTATGAACACCTCCCCCACCTGAATTAAACCCTTCTCTTTGTTCTGGCCAAATCTGATTCGCAGTGACTAAATAAATGAAATACATTTCAAGTACCATAACAGTTTGAATCATTCCCTCAAAACTCAAAGACAGAAATCTGTTTGTTTTGTAACAGATCGTTTGAACCCATGCCATCTGGAACCAACAGATATTAAAAAGACATAAGCAGGCACTGTATATAGTATCTAGGTATTGTTACACAGATGGGGAAAAAAAAATATATAGGATACATACTTATTAAAGCTCTAAGGTTCCCTACATGATATGAGTAAGATTAACAAGGCAATAAACATTCAGAACTCCTAGCACCTACTGACAGAAAAGATACACATTTAGGGAATTAAGTAATATAAAAGTAATATCACTTACAAACAAAAAGTTTTAAACATCAGGCAGGCATGTAAAATAATTTCTTTCAATTCATGATGGAATGGTTTCGTGTCGTTGCATGTCTTACTCCAGCCACTTGATGGAGCTGTGGATCCATGTTTGGAATATCAATTAACTCGCTAAATTGATAGATTCATAATAATATATTGCACAACCTTGTTTTTAGTATGTCCGGTCTTCTGGTGTCGAACCAGGATGGGTGATCAACATTTGGAGTGGATATAAATCCCAGAAATATGATTTTCTGTTACTCAAAGTTTGATTAAGAGACACACTGCTGTCTCCTTATTGTCTTTATTGCTGTCTTTTATTGCCCATTTGTATTAGTGATTGGACCTGTGGAGGTCAGAGCCTGGTTCTTGACACAAGCTGTTTTATGGCGCTAACCCAGACTCCGTGTGCTTAAATTGCCTGTATTCTAATATGTACTGCTGGTGCCATTACTTGTACAGTGTTAAAGCCCCGTCCTGTTTTCACTAAAGTAATCCTTCATCCTACTAAAATACCTCTTTACAGGTGATTCTTTAGCAGCTGCAGTTTCTGCATGTCCTTCAGTTTCTGAATCCACTCTGCAGCTCCAACTTCTTCAACTTGAGGAATCAGGAAGTCAAGGTACTGAATGGTGAAGACAGAGTCTGGTTTTAATGCAATCTCAGACAGTTTTATGATTGACACACAGACGCCTTTCACCAAGGTCTTCCTCTGTTCTTCATTCTCAGTCAGGACTGTTTTCAGGCCGATTTCTAGCTTTGTCATCTCTTCTTTCATTTTCAGAGCTTTTTCATGCTCTGTTTCCACTTCTTTAAAAGAATTTCTGTCATAAATGACTTCTTCATTTGTATTACTATGTTTCTTTTTCAGTTCTTTAAATATGACTTTCTCTTCTCTCTGCTCTGTTACATATTTCCTGCTCTCTCTGACATGTTTACTGTCAGGGCACTTACACACAGTGCAGTGCTTATCTTTCATAACTTGGCACCAAACTGCATTTGTGGAAATCCAGCATCCATACTCATGGCAATTTACCTGACATTCTGTGCAGGAGGTCACCTTTCGGTCCCACCATGAGGCACCTGTAATGTCGACTTTCTCTTTGTAAACTGTCGTGACAGTGAAAGGAAAATTTTCATTCTTCTCAATCTTTTCTTTGTTCAGTTTCAGAGCATCCTGAACTTTAGTCAGTTCTCTCTGCTTCCATTCCCTGAACTTGATGCGTTCCTTCAGACTCTCAACACAGGCCTCAAGCTGCATGTGTTCCTTTAGAACTCTTACAGTCATAGTTAAGCTTTTTCTCTGTCGTGAGTTTAGGAATTCAAAAAAATCCTCCAAACTACTTTCCCCCATTTCCCAAGATGATTTGGAAACATGCTCATATTTTTTTGCCTGTTTCTCAGACTGACGGTTGTTAAAAAGGAAATGAACAGGTTTATTCTCATCATCATAACAGCAGGGGATCTTTTCGTTCTTGATGGCTTCCAGAACATTTGTTGGTCGTCCTCCATCTGAGTGTGTAATAAACAGCATTATATTGTCCTCTATGTCTTTACCGAATAAGGACAGAACTGCTTCAAAAATGTAGCGCTGATTCTCTGAGATTCTGTTCTGAGTCGATTTCAGTACAAGACACACAGCATCAAGATCCTTCACTCCAGTAACATGTAGAAATAATTCATGTAAGTTTCGAGCGATTTCCATGTCCTTCTCTATTCCCCTGGTGTCTCCATAACCTGGAGTGTCAATGATGGTAAGAGAGGAGAGTTTCTCCTCAGAAATGATCTCATAGACAGTGGCAGATGTATGAAATTCTCTTTGATTTCTCTTTTCTTCTTCTGTGATCTCAAACCACACTTTATCCTCAAACTTCACCCCCAGAAAGTAATTGACCATGGTGTTGATCAGAGTGGTCTTGCCTGATCCAGTTTCTCCCACCATCAGGATTGTTTTGTTTTGCAGATTTCCATATTTCTGTCCAAATGTCCACTTTCTGGTCTTGCCATCCTTGTCTAGATCACGTCTTGTTGTTGGAAGACGGTGCAGTGCTGGTTGGCCTGGACTGAGCAACTGACTTATCTTGATTAAATCATTTAAAGATGATGATGCACCACTTAATCTGCAAAATCAAAGTAAAAAGAGGTTTAACACTCTCAAACTGAGCTCACATTAATGATTAAATAAATTACTGTGATAGCTAAAAGCAGAATAAGTCTGAATTAAAAATTTATTATAATTTATTTGCAAATAATGAGGTAACACTAAAGATTAACAGGACATCAAAAAAGTAGTAATGATATAGATAATAGTAATGAGCATAAAAATTAATAAGATAAATATGAGGCAAGCCTACAGAATGCTATTTTTCATTTGTATATATTTTAGCTGATATATCAGTTTGAAATTCTAGCACATTAGAACACTTATGTGATTGTACTGTATGAAAACTAAAGTTTAGTGTCTTTTGTTCAACTCTTACTCACAGCTTATTTTAAATGAATATTAGAACATTATAGAAAACAAAGTGCTTTGACCTTTAGTCAGTATGACTGAAAAATTGGAACAAACATTTAAAAGTTATCTTTAATCAGATAAAAATAAACCACTTAAATCCTCACAATGAGGTTTAACAGTCAATAATAAAAATTGAAGCTCAAAAAGAAACTTTAAATTCAAAACATTTGACAAAAATATCAAATTTATATAGAAAAAATATGTAGTATGAGTCACTGACTTTGTTGAAAGCACGTCAGGTGCCTTCTCAGCATATGAGTGCAAGATAGAAAGCCTAGATACAAACTAAAAAATATTACAGTAAGCATCTGAGTAATCACACACTAAAAGTAATAATTGTTGGTAAAAAGCAAAAATATGGGAATTTGAATGTTAATATGTTTATTTCATTGTGTTGTTCAACAAAAAAATGTAATTTAAGTGATAAGCTGAAGTTGGATGTGTTGAATATATTAGAGGTATTCTGATTCGCTCTTGAGTAGTGGAATCTTTGGAAGTAGAGTTGCAGTTGTCTGTAGTTTTAACGAGCGAAAATACAAATAAAAATGACCAGAAATTTCTTATTTATTAAATGTACAATGATAAGTTATGATTTTAAAAATAATTTACTGCTTATCTGCATATGTTTAGCATTAGCTCTCTTTTCTTACATTTTGAACACGTTCAAACCACTAAAGAAGCAGTGTGGATCAGCACAGTGTGTCCACTCCTACACACACAAACCTCACTCTCACCAAATTAACAGTAGGGGTTGTAGCCGAGATGTTGCTGTGCCGGTACACACAGCAGAACAACAGCTTATGTGCTGGTACACCCAGCAAAACAACAGCTTATGTGCTGGTACACCCAGCAAAACAGCGGCTCATTTGCTAGTATTGGCAAGGAAGCAAATTCTAGAGCAGATTCTGACAATTAGAAAAATGCTGAATATCAGCTCCAATTATTGATCAGGTTGATAATCAGTCAATTCCTAATATTAAGGCATCCTGAGGCTTGCCGCCAACTTTGTTGGGTTTTCTACCTCATCCCTATCAACACCTCTTTCACAAAATAAAAATGTAAGAGACATAAAGCGGTTTATCATTGATGTCCATCAGAATAAAACAACCAAAATGAATAGTTACAATATTGTTTTCTATTTAACGAGTTTTACTGTTAACGATAAGTTATGATTTTACAAATAATTTACTGCTTATCTGCACAGTTCAGCCTTAGCTCTATTGACTCACATTCTAAATGTGTTGAAACCACTAAAGAAGCAGTGTGTCCGCTCCCACACACACAAACCTTACTGTAACCAAACAAACAGTAGGGGAGGTAGCCGGTTGCTGTGCCGGTACACACAACAGAACAGTGGCTTATGTGCCAGTACACACAGCAGGACAGCAGCCCAAGTGCCGGTACACACAGCAGAACAGCAGCCCAAGTGCCGGTACACACAGCAGGACAGCAGACCAAGTGCCGGTACACACAGCAGGACAGCAGACCAAGTGCCGGTACACACAGCAGGACAGCAGACCAAGTGCCGGTACACACAGCAGGACAGCAGCCCAAGTGCCGGTAGACGCAGCAGGACAGCATCTTATGTGCCGGTACACACAGCAGAACAGCTGGTAAGATGGTGTCACATAGATGCAATCAGGGGTTAAATTGCGATTCTATTATGTGTGCCAAAAATGTGGAAGCAATATTGTTCAGATTAGTCTATGTGATAACATACTGAGTTTCATGATACCAGCTTTCTAAATCCAGTAACAAACTTGTTTCTAAAACTAGCTTTCAGTATCTGTGTATGTTTATATCGTCTGTCTTTTGGTCTTATCTTCAATCGAGCAGTCGGGGATTAAGTTTTCAGCACTTTGTGAGTTTTGACAAAGAACAAACAATATCACACTGGCTATCAAATTTATTCAGAAACCATTCGTGTTCATATGGAGTTCAATTTGTGCCAAAAGTTTCAAATAAAATGTATAAAATCCACAAGCAAAATATTGAGTATGAAAATACCAGAAATTTGGTGCAAATACAAAGAATTAGAGCTAAATCAAATTTTCAAAAAGATTTCTACTAATTTTCGCTCATTCGGCTATAAATTTATTACAGATTTTGCTAGATTTTTCTTTACTTTTTTTCTATTTGCTGATTTTGCTGATGCATTTTTTGATTCAGGAATCGCTCTTTTGCTTCTGATTTTTGGCACTTTTTAACAGGTCTTAGAAGAAGGCGTTCACCTGTACTCTCTATTGATCAACTGGTTTGGAGTGACAGGTCTTCTGAACACATAATTACTCAGCATGAACCGCCCCGAGCATGGTGGAACACACTGTACTGAGTGCTGCTTTTTACTGGCATATCTGGCATTATGAGCAATGTTGTCAAATTCTTTTAAATTATAATTGTAACACGTTTATGGGTCCCATGTCGACCTAGGTAAAAAGAACTGTTATTTTGGGCACTGGCGAACCTAAACTTGTTTATGTAGCCTAGCAGTGTCCTCTTGGGCTAACTTGGAGAACCATACTAGTAATGCAACTAACTGTTTAACTATCTGATGGGGTCATGGGCTGGAGGTTAGGGAACCAGCCTTGTGACCAGAAGGTCGCTGGTTCGATCCTCTGAGACGACAGTATGTGACTGAAGTGCCCTTGAGCAAGGCACCTAACCCCCAGCTGCTCCCCGGGTGCCATGGATAGGGCTGCCAACCGCTCTGGGTAAGTGTGTTCACTGCCCCCTAGTGTGCGTGTGCATTCACTAGTGTGTATGTGGTGTTTCACTGCACGGATGGGTCAAAATGCGGAGGTGAAATTTCCCCATCGTGGGAGTAATAAGGGTCACTTTTTTCTTCGTGTAGTTTTGGATTGCATTAGTGCAAAGACAGTGATTTGGGAGCAGCAGCGTTATGTAAATGGGTGTGCTGAGATACAAAGGCTGTTTCAGTGGGTACTCTGTGGGTAGAAACAAGAAGAGACTGACAAAAGCCTTTATAAACACTAGATTGGAACAGCTAAACGTGATGTAAAGTTTATTCCCTTTGTAGTGAAAAGTAAACATTACTACCTATCAGCTTCTCTCAGCAGCAGTAACATAGCTGGCAGTAATAGGTGGTGTTTTTGGTCTTCACTGTGTTTATGCCAGTGCTACCTTACGTTATTTCCCTTGACCCCACAGCACCGTAGATTCAGTGATTTCCAGACACACATGATCAGCTAATGAAAAGCTCAATAATCAGTTGATGAGCTGCATCAGGTGTTTTAAGGTAAGGAATAATTCAACCCGTGTGGAGCTGCAGGTGATCAGAAGGAGGATTAATTAACACTGATTTAAACAGCTTTCTTCAAACTCATCTTTAGCAGACACTAAGACCGAGCCCCTGTTAAAATGTGTGTTACATCCTGTGTGTGTTTTGGTTGACTGACGTTTCCTGGCATGTGATTCGCTGTTCCCGTTGGTGCATGTGGAGTGTTTTTTCCCCCCAGCCTTGCACTACTCCACTCCCCTGGCTGCCTCCCAGTTAACAGACCAGTTTTGTTAGCTCTGGACTGCTGGCCTACAGGTACACGTGGGTCAATGAAAGTACATTTGTAAATTTTATGTTTTTTAATGCAAAAACTGGCAAAATGTTTAATAAATTATATCTTTTTGAAGATTTCAGTTTGATTTAACTGTTTTTTTTTGTATTTGCAACATATTTGACATTTTGATATTTAATGTTTTGCTCATGGATATTCTAATTATATTTGAAACTTTTGACACAAAATTAACTCAAACCTTGTGTATAAATAGACATCAGTAGACCTAGTGTTGCTTTAATGATCTCAGTGGTGACAGTTTTCTGTGACAAACTAGGCTTCTAGACTACTTAAAGGTGGAGGCTTAAACAACTAATTTATGTAGCAAATCAAAATAGCATGGAGGCCCTGAGCTTTAGCCCCTTAAAATCTGTTGGATTAACACGACCCTAACTGTGCCTTCTCTTTTATGTCTGAATATTGTGCATAACCCATGTTTGTCTTTTAAATGAACAAAATTTCTTAAAATATTGAAAAAGTAGTCTCTGGATGGCAAATGAAGTGACCCAGTAGATCCGCCCCTTTAGCTAAAGGCTGAACAGTATGCTTATAGAAACACCACCAGGCCTGAGCACAGTGCAGCGTATCTTGAAATCAACATGTATTTTGGATTTTTCTCCTTTCATTATTGTACATGTAGACCATACTGAATATCTTTAAGGAAGGGAAATGAACAGGAACTTGTAGGGGTTTTTGCTACATAAAACTAATTTACTATGCCCCATTAATAATATTCTCATTAATTAGGTATGTACATAAAACATTAAATATCACAATTTCTAATTTCTAAATAAAGTAATATCAATATTTTCATTTCTGAAGGTTCTAATAAATGTGAATTATTGTATATAGATATTGCCAGCAACCAGTATTTGAATGATGTCAAGACAAATATCTAGGTAAAAATAAATGGAGCATTTTCTAACATATCTATTCTCAGACACAAATGAAAGAATTAACAATAATTACTATATTTGCAGTGGATATGAGCTAAATGACCATTTAGCTAGTGTGCATGTAAGAGAAAGAGAGAGAGAGAGAGGGCAAAAGAGAGCTAGAGAGAGGGTTTGCGCATGTGCTTACACAAGGGAAGGAGTGTTGCTTCTTTGTTCTTTGAACAGAGACAAAAAAACAGTGGCAATTTTATACAGCAAAAAACATCATTCACGGGTGATTCATGTTTATGCTTTATGTTAATGAGATCAGCCGAACCTTTATTCTAGTCCGTGCTAGAACAAAGCCGATGGCTGAATTTAAAATGAGTGTGCCCAAATGTTCAGTCTCACATGATGAATACTTCCTATATATACAACTTTCATCAACCTCATGGAATTCCTTTGTGGAATGTGGAGGCAGTGTTCACATTCTCGTTCCTTGAAGGATGAAAGTCCATGTCAACAGGTTTCTAGGAATATGCAAAATCCTGTGGTTGTTGATTGAGGAAAAGAGCTCTGTCTGCAGTTTTAAGTGGAAAAACTTGAGTGCTTCACAAAGTGCCGACCACCTTTCACAAGCTTGACTTAAAGTATTCTTGAATGGTGATCAGCCGCTCTGGCTACAGTTACTTAAATTAACTTGAAATAGTTAAACTAATTCAAGATAGGCCTACTAGTAGCTGGGTCCTTTGTTTTTTGTTCTACTGTCCATGTGGTGCAGATAATGGAGAAAGGCCAAATATTTCCAATTTCTTAAGAGCAAGATTCATGAAATGATGCTAATCCATGGGGAAAAAGCCTCAAGCCACATCTGATTTACGACTGGATCATTAATGCACCACCACAAGGTCTTGTATCAATTATATATTCTCATCTCATTGAAACATTATGTAATAAGCTCCTTATTCAGTCTATCTGGGAAAAATAACTATCTATTAATACAGTTGATTGGAAAACACTGTGAGAAAATATTTCATGCATCAAAGAACCCCAATCATCAACCGATCCATTTTAAATATTGTCGAAGGTCATAATTGGACACCACGGAAGTGCTTTTGCATTAAATCCTCACTGTAACCATTACCCACAATAACAAATGGGATTTTTTTTGCATATGGTGCAGGAATGTGGGGATGTTCATGACGTCAGGATAAATGTTACTATCATACTGTATAAGACATCCCTGTGGAACCAGCTGTATTATTGCTTAACAATGTCTCTAATTTAAATCTAACAGGAAAACAAAGGAAGATGTGGCTCGCTGGTTTAACATCAGCTAGAAAAATCACTGCACAGTAGGCGGCTTCCACCACACAATCTAAGAGTACGACACAGTTATGTTAGAATTGGCCACAGCTAGAATTAATAAAGTTAAAGATGTGGAGTTTTGATTTGATAAAAAGACTGGAACAAATGTTATGATGTACATTCTACAGGATAACATTCTTTTTTTAAATCTCATTCTTTTCATTAAATTTTATTTATTCAATTGGTAGAAATGTATGTACAGAAAAAGGGGATGGATGGACCACCGAGATGGAGAGGGATGGGGAGAGAAAGGAGGTTGTTTTTGATTTCCTTCAATTCTGTAGTATACTGATAAGGAGCTGCTTGATTAACACAAAATAAAATAAAAAAACCTTACAAAATTAATTAAGCTAATTAGTGATTCAGTTCACAAATCTATAGAATCAGACAGCTCATTTACATTTTCACTCACCTGTGAGCCATAACAGCTGCGAGTTCAGTACCGCAAATCACAAAAGATGTGGTCAGTGATCTGTAAAACAAATAATCAGATTTCAGTGCTTTAATTACAGTTATAGTTTGTGACCATCAATAAACTCTCCAGAACATTTCCAGTGTTTTTTTCATATTGGAAGTGAACTGCAGTAAATTTTGGTAATTAATTAAAAATTGGTTAATAATGGAAAGTTAGATATGTAAATCAAACACAAGTGGTGGCTGATTTGCTAAGAGAGAATTTTGCTGAGGGATCGTTGGAAATGCCCACATGGCATGATATTTAGAAAAGCTGAGGATTAAACTAAAAACAAATAAACTTGGATGGCTAAAAAGGCTAATTCATTGTAGTACATAGTACAAACATCTCTGACTCTACCAAACTTGGGGCCTTATGTCCATGTTAGCTCAGCGGTATAATGCTAGTAGATAGACTCAAGCGCGTGTACTCACTTTTGGCCCATTTGCTATACTGGTGGTCAGAAAGAATATCCCCTGCCACAATGTGTGTGGAGTGGCAAAACAGGGGGTGTGGCATCCAAAATTCAGCAGTAAAACAGTATTTTCAAACTCATTTTGTACCAAAACATTGCCTACACTACTGCCTCTTCAAACCTATTGTTATCATAAATGCAAGTAGAAAACAGCTTTTTCCTGACTGATTTGCTGCCTGTATTGTGCCTCATTCAAAAACCATTCAGAGCTATAACACTCCTTATAACTTCAGCATAATTGGACGGAGCTAAACTGCTGTCAGCTGCATATGTGGATATATAAATTAGTTGGTTCTCATATCATCACAAAAACAATGAATTCAAACCAGGCTGTTTTTGCAGCTTACTGTTTATATGTGGTACACATGGACTGTAGTGGCAAATACATTGTGAAACTTCACCAAAGGTTACATATTGCTTTAAACTCCTTAATTTAAAAAAGTGAGGGAAGTTGAGTTGTCTGTGACGTTGGGGCTTTTAAAGTCCAGATTCTGACAGCACAATATTCTTGAGGAATACTATTTTTATCATTCTACTTAAATGTAAACAAAACTATTAAACTAAAATTAATTAATTATACTTCTCACAAATGGTCATAGTTGCAATTTAGTTGCAGCATGGAGCTCTGGGTGTGCTTCGCTAGTGCATATTTACACATTTCTGTAAACTGTGTAAAGAACAATGTTTACATTAAATTGCATGTATTTCATGGCTAGATGATTACATAAGACTTCCTAGTTTATCTGTTTTCAATAAAGTAGTTTAGAATCCCTGAAAGACTGTGCAGAGTTTGTTACTGTTTAATGAAGTCCTTATTGATATAAAAAAAAAAGATTACTAGTTTAAGAATCATAATAATGGGTAGATAATGCAATTAATGTGATGACAGTTCCTCCTAGCTCCCTGAACATTAGCTTACATTAAAAGGTGAACCTCTACGGATAGCGAACATTACATTAACAGCTTTTAAATTGTGTAAGTTAACTGATACATGTATAGAACATTTTTATCATTAAAATGACTAACAGCAATTTATCCAGCTTTGAATTTTACCACTAGAGAGACTCAGCCTCTCTGCAATGCTCTTTTTATACTCAATCATGTTACTGACCTGTTCCCAATCAACTTACTTAGTTGTGAAATGTTCCACCAGGGGTGTTGAAATGTGTTGTGGGCATGAAATGTGTTGTGGGCATCAAATTAAAAATTATTATTATTGCATGTTAGCATTTTTCTGTAATACAATTGCTTACATTAAAATGCAATTACAAAAAAAATCCACATTTAGATGCTGAACACTTTACTCAATAGATATTTTTGAATTTTAAAGTTGGTTTGGCACCATGAGTTCATTGTCAGACTGTTTATTCGATTATTTGATTATTTACATTCCTCTAAAATAAATGAAATCACTATTTGCAAAAATAAGAATATACATTTGTGTGCATCATGAGGTCAAATGGTGAAAAAATATATTCGAATTATTTGACCACTAAATTTGCTTTAAAAAATAGATCATTCAAAATGAAAATTGTGGAAATAAAATAACATACAATTAATTGCCTGATTCAATAGATGAGTTTCCAGTGCCAATCCTGGAGACTAAAAACGCAATCTGAATAGTACCCAAATAGTACCTGCTCTGTGAGGGTCCATGGGGGTCCTGACCACAGAAGAACAGGGTAAAAGGGGGCTAACAAAGTGTGCAGAGAAACAGATGGACTACAGTCTGTAACTGTAGAACTACAAAGTGCACCTATATAGTAAGTGGAGCTGATAAAATGGACAATGAGTGTAGAAACAAGGAGGTGGTCATAATGTTACGCCTGATCAGTGTATGTTTATTTTTAGCTCTCCATATGTAACAAAACTGTCAAAATAAATAAATCTGCTTTGCACTTTGTTACAATTTTCTGTAACACTCTAATTAAACTCTACTACTGGACTGCAAATAGACGTGGATTACATCTGGTTTACATTTTTATGCCAGTTAGTTTAACATTAATGTTCAGATCTAGATCACAATGTTTCGTGTCATTTGATCTGCTGCCTCTGCTCAAGAGAGATCCCATCAATACTTCTAAGCACCAGATAAATCTAAATCTGAAAAGTTATTCACTCAGACACTTCCTGAGGCTGTATTAGCTTCCTCACTTCAATTTTGAGAGGTTTTACATGTTGGAATCCGAAGTGTATTACAAATATAGCGTCATGTACATTATTTATCTAAATAACCAATAACGCGAAGAGATGTCAACAAATTCGGTGAAAACCGGTTGACTAATATGCGAATTATGGTCAATGTTATCACGAGAACACGTAACTGTTTACATGTAGGACGGCAACTATGTACATCTTATGGTGTAAACCGTTATTTCATGACCTACATAGTGCACTACATTGGGAGCAGAGATCCGTTTGCGATTCAGCCTAAACTTGAGCAGTTTGGTTCAAAAGCGTAATCTTCCACAGTAACTCAGCAGAGTTTAAGATGAGCTTCTTTCGTGAAATCGACACTGAAGAAAATGAGCTTGGCTTACTGCGTTAGCCTGCGTTGTGGGATAACCGCCCCGGTTAAGCAATATTAAACACTGTTTACACACTGACTGCAGGTTTAACCTACCTGTGAGTTTCTCTCCTGCAGGAGTAAAATGTGGGTTTCCGTTATTCTCCAGTAGTGTTTGGCTCCCAACTTAAACTATTTGAAGTCTTAAGCAAATTAAACCAAACAATCAGACGAGGCTTCTGCAGAACAGCAGCGGTAGATACTACAAGATGTCTAAACCAAGGATGCGCTTCATATTGCGCTGCTGAAACCCATCCGTTAAACCTTAAAACTCATATGAAGAGACCGCGTGATTTCTCAGAACCGTAGTCCTCTGATGTCCGGGATCTTTCCTAGCACCTTGATTCTAGCAACACTTGGCCACAACGGCAAACCAAGTGCCAAAAAAAAACTGTAAAAAGTCTGAAAACTGACTTTTAAACTGAACTATAGTTTAGAAACTGGTTAAAGAAAACAGAGCATTCAAGCTACTTTTAAAGCTCATTAAAAGAAATTAAACGTTATGAACTGACGTAAAAAATGACCAATCAACAAGAAGAAATAAGACTTACTGAAAACTTAGCGTTGCTGGGAAATACAGTTTTGTGCTGCCACTTTATTAATATAAACTTGCTCATAAAACATGAATGTTTAATAAACGTTATGTTGGAAAATACCTATGTTTTCTTTCATAAAGCCATTTTAGTTAATCATTCATGTTTGCTGAGTAAGATTAAATCAATAAAGTGCCAGTACAAAACTGGGTAAATATGCATGTCGCTGCTGATGGGAGCAAAACTCAAACACCCACTAAACGAGAGAAAACATACCTCAAAGCCTGCTGCACACCGTTTCACACTGTAATGATGAAACATTCAATCCAGCAATCAGTGCAGGTTTTGAGACATGATCTCAATATGACCATGTAGATGAAGGAAAAAACACCAGTTCTGAGAAATCACGTGGTCTCTCCATATGAGTTTTGAGGTTTAACAAACAGGCTTGACCAACACATACTTGGCTTAGACGTCTTGTAGTAACCACATCTGCTGTTATGCAGAAGCTGTCAACTGAGTATTATGTTTGTTTAAGTTTGGAGCCAAATACTACAGAGAATATCAAGCGTCCCACATTTTCCACTTGCAGAACAGGCATCCAAAAAACAGGTAGGTTAAACCTGAAGTCAATGTAAACAGTGTTTAATATCATATAGCCAGGGGGTATAAACTGATAGTTATACCAATAGTCATATGAAGTTAAATTATATAAATTATATTAAGTTAAAGGTTGTGTGATTACTGTCACCTTGATGTACCATTCACAGTTGATTTTAGTGTTGTATGTAGTTCAGTTGAAAATCTATTGAAATTTCAAACTAGCTGCAACATTCACTGTAAATTGTACTGTTACATTAATTTGGTTGAAAAACTATTGACATAAAAAAAACGTATTGTATTAATTCCAAAATCCAAAGGTTATGTGCCATTGCTGCCACTTACCTACACCATTCACAGTCAATTTTAGTGTTGTATGTGATTTGGTTGGAATATTCCTGATATTTAAAATGGAAACAAAAGAAGTAAGTATTGCATTAATTCCAAATCCAAAGGTTGGGCATCATTGTTGCAACTTACCAGCACCATTCGTAGTTGATTTTAGTATTGTATGCAATTTGTTTGAAATGATATTGAAATTTCAAATGAAAAAAAAAAAAAATGTATTATTTCCAAAATCAAAAATGGTGTGCATCATTGCTGCCATCAAGATGCAACCTATACAGTTTTAGTGTTGAAGGTGATCTGCCTTAAATACTATTGGAATTCAAAATAGAAAAAAAGAATGTAAAATATTGCACTAATTCAAAAAACAAGGGTGGTGCATTGTTGGTGCCACTTAGCTGTAATATTCACAGTTGATTTTGTTGAAATTTAACAGAAAAAAATACTATAAAAATATATTGCATTAATTCCAAAATCCAAAGGCTGTGCATCATTGATGCCACCTAGGTGCATGTTGTATAAATGTTTATAGTGTTGTATGTAATCTATTGTAAATTATATTGACATTTAAGATGTAAAAATATATAAAATATATAAGTTTGTACTAATTCCAAAACCTAAAGTTTGTGCATTGTTCATGCCAGTTAACTGTACCATTTAGTTGATTTGGTCTTGTATGTAATTTGCTTGAAATACTTTTCAACTTGATATTTACTTATTTCTAAAATCCAAAATTTGTGAGTTACTACTGTCACTTAGCTGCACCATTCACAGTTGATCATAGTGTTCTCTGTAATCTATTTTAAATGCTATTGAAATTTAAGATAAAAAAAATGTTGCATATGGTACACTTAATTTTAGTATTGTATGTAATTTTAACTTTTAACAATCGCAGAATTTGTAACTTTAAACAATTGTGGAACAACTGTACCTTTTATTAAGAGACTTATATTTGCAAAATTGTCGGGCTCAGTAGAATACATAAAATTCAGAAACTTTCTGTGCCACAAGATAAATATTGTAAAGCATATAACTGTATGTATGCTTGAAGTCATAATTTGCATTTAATGTTGAAGATGTTAATTAGATGTATAGTTTGAATCCAGAATCTTTTCTTTATTTCAATCATAGAAAGAAATAATGACATTTAAGTCAATTTGCATTAGATTAAGCATTGTAGGGGCTCATGGAGTCCGATTTAATCAACACTTTGCAAGCTTCCTCAGGAGATTGTTTTGTATAATATTTCCAAATTTGGTTATAATCTATTTAAAAATTAATTATGTAATTTAATTTCTTTCATCATAGAAAGCAGAAGATGGTGGGAATTTTAAGAAAGACCTGCATTTCTTAGAATTAAGATTGCAAAGTGATGTGTCCCCTGCGATTTATACAGCTCTGCCCACCACCCATGACCTCCTGTGGGCTGTATTTTTTGAAACAATTAGTTGGTAGGGACCTACAAAGAAACCAAGCACCACTTTTGTAACTTGTTCTCAACTTTCAAATAATATGATTATTGAGCACTATAATTGAAAATTCATAATACACTCAGGAGCTCAATTGTCCAAGTGGTTGCTGAGAAACACATTTTTGGTTGTTATAGCGCCCCCTATTGAGTAATCAGAAAAAATCATGGGCTTCCACAACATCATGTGAGGTATTGGCCTGTTAAGTTTCATGAGAATTGGCCAAAGCAGTTTTAGGGAATAAATAAAATAAGAAGAACTAGAAGAACTAGAAAAATATCTTAGCAACACAGTAGGGTTGTAATAATAAAAAGACAAAATAAAACAATATTAAAAGAAGGTACTGCATTAATTCCAAAACCCGACGGCTGTGCATCATTGCTGCCACCTAGATGCACTTTACATAGTTAATTATAATATTGTATGTTATGATATTGTATGTTACACCTTAAATGCTATTGAAAATCAAATTTGAAAAAAATTTATGTAAAATAGATATTACATTATTCCTAAATTAAAATTTTATCCCCCATTTTAGACACATCCATTTACACCCACTAGTTAGGACCCACTCACACAATACCACCAGTACTAGTAGGGCAAAAGCTAGCAAAGATTTTTTACCTCCGAGACCTGTGAAGCGCCACCACTCAACGTCATTGAAAGAATTATTAAAAGCAGTTATTGCATTATTTTCAAAATCCAAAGGCTGTGCATCATTGCTCCCACCTAGCTGCACCTTATACACTCTCAGAAATAAAGGTAATAAACTGTCACTGGGGCAGCACCCCTCTTGTCACTGGGGTGGGACTCTCAAGGGTACATCTCAGTACCTTTAGTCAGGGAACATAACTGTACCATAATGCATTGAAATGATATTTTCTAAGTTGTATTGACTCTACACACCTCGTCTCATCTCCAGGCTTTTTACTTTATTGTTCTGTTTTAAAATATTAGGTTATGAAAAGTTACAAATATGTACTTTTCACCTGGGAAAAACTTATTTAAGGTACACAATTGGACCTTAGAACCACTGTTGTACCTTTGAGGGAACATTTACATTGTAAATGTATAAAGTAATTAAAAGATATTGCATTAATTCCAAAATTCAAAGGTAATTTGTCATTGCTATCATGTAGCTGTACCGTTTATTTTCATATCATATGTAATTTGGTTGAAAAGCTATTGACATTAAAATAGAAAAAAATAAACGTATGTATTACATTAATTACAAAATTCAAAGGCCGTGCATCATTGCTGTCACCTAACAGTACCTTATATAGTTGATTATGTTTTTTTTGTGCTTTAAATACTATTAAAATTGAAATTTGAAAAAAATCTAAATTATAGATATTGCATACATTTCAAATTCAAAGGTCATCTCTCATTGCTGCCACATAGCTGTGATATTTTTTCATATTCTAAGGAATTTGGCTGAAGTGCTTCTGAAATTTAAGTTGTAAAAATTTAATATAAGCTATATATTGCCTTAATTCCAAAACTAAAGTTTGTGCATTGCTGTTACCCAGCCACATCTTATACACTTGATCTTCATGTTATATGAGATCTGAAATGCTATTGAAATTCAAAATATATTGCATTAATCCAAAATTCAAAGGTTGTGCATCATTGCTGATACATAACTGAATGTAGTGTTTTATATAATGTGAGTGAAACGCAATTCAATTTCAAAGTAAATCAAAAATTGATGTAAAGAAAATATTGCATTAAATCCAGTCTGATATCCAATAACTATATCTGATGGTTGTGTGTAATTTCTGCCCATACAGGTAGCTGCACTCTATACATAATGTTTCAGTGTTGTATGTAGTGTTTCAAATGCTAAGGAAATTTTAAAGGAAATTTGCCATCTAGTTGCACACTTTACAGCTGGTTATTCTCTTTGATGATGATATTTTGACAATTTGCTGTTTACACATCACTGTGTACATACGGAGAGCTTAAAATAAACATAAATAATACATTGGTGGCTCGAATGGCTTGTGGTTGCTTTCATTTCTATTTCAGAACTGTGACAAAAAATTTGCAAATGTAAGAAAAATAATCATTCATAATTTCTGTGATGCAATATACCCCAAAAACTAAAAAAAGACCACACATTTAATTTCAGAAGAAGAGAGTGAGAGGAAAAAATAGAAAAAAATCTGCACATCTGAACATAAAAAAGAAACATGATTAAATGAATGGATGAAAAATAAATCACAACAGGTTAAAATGTTCACACAAACACACATAGCCTTACACATAAATGCTTAACTAAGACAAAAGCTCAACGAAAGAAATCAGCATGCTAAAACTCAAGAAAGGACAGAAAGAGAAAAAGAGAGAGAGGGAGATTGTGGTTTGGGGGTGAAAGCACCTGCAGGTGTCTCACACAGATTTGATCAAACCAGTTATACCCTTATGCCAACTATATGTAAATAAGACTACTATCTTATAAGAGTAAGATAAGAATATATACAATTGCTAATTCATTACAAATCAAAGCTAATGCACGCTTGGATTGGTTCATAAACAAAACTGAACACAGTGTCACTGGTTAGATTCAGTCAACAAACATAAAGATCACATGGGACATTGATTCACTCTCTGGAATTAATGTGCACAGATTTTTTTTTATTTTGAATGTTTATTAAAACAACAAGAAAGGACACTCTTTCAAATTTTGAAGCATTTCACAGTGAACTAAAAAAGACAGTCTAACAAAATTGACTGGACTGCGCTATCAAAGTATTTTATATGACACAGATTAGGCCAAAACACACCAACCATCATGGGGTTCCCAGGATTAGGACTGGAAGCCCCTCTGTTAAACACACCTAATCAATCTTGTGGTACATACTATTAATTGTATGTTTTAATAGTTAAATAAATCTACAATTTGAGCTCATTGTGTATACAAATATAAATATTCTTGTTTTTGCAAATAGATCAAAAATGGAGCCACAGAGAGGCCATATAAAATACATTAATTATACAGGCCGGTCAAAGGGGCACTTGCACTGTCTGAGGACAAAGGGGCAGGGGCTCAAGCTCCCCCCAGGGGTCTATCTGTCCATGTGCCTGCACGATTCTGCATTTGTCTGTCTGCGTGTGTCTGTTTTTCCTTATTTGTCCTGAAAAAAATTAATCAGTATTTAGTTTGCATTTGTTAAAAAGATTGAAGAAAAGAAAGAGTGATCTAAATTGTATTCCTCAACAAAATTGTGCTGTGAAAAACCAGAGTTGTCTTTAAAGGGCCCATTTCATGGAAAACTGAATGTCACTCCCTTTTTTGAATTAAGGCGTTTGAAACAATAAGCAATTGTTGGTAAAGTTTCAAAGTGTACTTTTGACTACCCAGTCCATGCGTTCCATATATTAAAGATAAGCTGCAAAACCAGTCTGTGGTTCAATTCAGGAAAAAGCTGTTTTCTGCTTGCATTTCTGATAACAATAGGTTCGAGGAGGCAGTAGTGTAGGCAATGTTTTGGTACAAAATGAGTTTTACTGCTGAATTTTGAATGCCACATTCAATCCATTAAATACATGCGCTTGAGTAATTAAAGCACTGAAATCAGATTTGAATTTGTTTTACAGATTACCAACCACATCTTTTGTGATTTGCGGTAATCAAACACTCTGCTATCATGGCTCACAGGTGAGTGAAAATATAAATGAGCTGACTGTTTGATGCCATAGATTAGTGAACTGAATCACTAATTAGCTTATTTTCATTAATATTGTTCTAAAGAAATTGTCAGAAATCTTTTTTCACACACGTCCATGCCATTTTTGGCTATATGAATGATTAAATAAAAACTAATATGATCTGTACTGACTGCTATTAAAGACTGCAATACGATTGTTACTGTAATATGCTATGATATATATTAACCATACCACAAATATCGGCACCCCTGGTAATCATGAGCAAAACAGACTCTAAAAAACATTTTTTTTCCTTACCCCTTTGATCTTCTATTCAAAATATTAACAAAAATATAACCTTTATTGAAGCACAATGATTGAAAGAAAAAGCCTAAATCTTATCATGAAATACATATTTTTCTTAAAGCTATGTGTGCCACAATTGTTGGAACCCCTACAAATTCTTATGAGAGAGATCTAACTGACATATATTCCCTTTTATATGTTATGTTTTAAAGTTCACCTGAGCAATTAGCAACACTTAAATGGTCAGCCATTACTTCTTGTTTTACTAGGGAATATATATGAGATGAAATACAGGCCAAATTTCCTCAGTCATCCATCACTATGAGAAAGACCAGAGAATACAGCAGTTATGTACAACAAAAGGTTGTTGAAAATGCCCATTTCCACTATCAGGGCAATACTTAAGAAGTTTAAAGCAACTGAAGATGTTAAGAATCTGGTGGGAAGAGGACGAATGTCTATATTGACAGTGAGGAGGATGGTTCAAGTGGCAAAAGAATGTCCAAGGATCACAGATTGGGAACTGCAGACATTAGTTAGGTCTTGGGGTCAGAACATCTCTCAAACTACAATAAGTGCCACCCACATAACCACAAGTTGTTTGGAAAGTTTGCCAGAAGGACGCCTCTGCTGTCAAGAACCAACAAAATGCCTAGTGCCTACAGTTCGCTAGACATTATTGGAACTTTCAGTGGGATCATGTTCGAATGTCAGATGAGACCAAAACATGGCCACCCTAGTCTACAATATTGAATTTCAATATTGAAATGATATTCAGTATTCGATATATGATATTCAATATGGTCTACAGGTGCAATAATGAAAGGACGAAAATCCAAAATACTCTGCACTGTGCTCAGGCCTTGTGTCATTTCTGGAAACATGATTTTTATCATGTAAGCAGGGACGTATCTACTGGGTCAGTTCAATTGCCTGCTAGAGACTACTTTTTTCAATACTTTGTCATTTTGATCCTTTAAAGACACACATCATGCACAGTATTCATAACAGGCAAGGCACAATCAGGGTCGTATTAACCTAACAGGCACTGGGGCTGTAGCTAAGGGCCTCCAGCCACCAGGGGGCCCTAATAATAGTAAAATCAAGTAGAAAATATATTTTCATGTTATGGTGGGATTTGTCCTTCTACATTATGGTTCTGTTTGGTATCTGTTTTACATTGCATCACAGCAGTTAGAGCACAGCAGCACCATGGCTGCTTCCAAATAGTTTAATAAAGCTTTCTTTTACTTTGGCTATCAGATCAGGCCAAATCAAGAAAAAATAAAAAAAAAAAGTTTCGGGCTGTCTAATCTGTGAGTGTTTGACCAGCAGGGGTGGTTGTTTTTTTCTCCCTTATCCTTCAGGGACCATGCAGGTTTTAAATCCCTCACCACAACCCCAAAACATATGCAGAATTGCAGTGTATGAGTTTGGATCAAGGCCTCCTCGATGAGTCGCCAGGGAACTCTTGAATCTACATTTAACCAAGTGGCCACAGCCCTTAGCTGAAAGGACAAATAATAGAAATTTTGATTTGGCAAGGAAAGACCACCTACTTCCTTCCATCGCTGTAAAATAATCTGCCTTATTCTGGCATGCTTCCCATCCCACATGATTTTAGATAGTAAGGAGTTACTTCCTCAGTATATTCAGGGGGAAGAGAAAGAGGAAGCATAAAAAAATGAAAATTAGTTGGTTAGAAAAAAACTCATTAGTTCACTATTACTTACTGAGTAGTTAACTAGTAGTCCCTCTAGTAGTTAAGAGTAATTACTTAAGCATTAATGCATAACTACTCTTTCATTTCTGCTTAATTCCTGATTAGTTACTTATTAACTACAAAACAGTATTGTGTTACCGATAGTCCCTGATTGAGCCTCAATTGGTAGTCCTCTAATGTCCATTTGCGTTGTGGCATCTGGCACCATTGCAACAGCCCCGTCTGGCTTGCCCAAAGTTGTCAACGACTGAAGAAAATCCTCTGCCTCCCTTAGCATGTGAAGTTGTACCTGCTTGCTATGATAGGCCACTCTCGAAATGGCTGGATACAGCAGGAATGCCTGGAGCTGTAGACCCGTTGCGTCAAAACGTTGCCTGAACAGAGACATCTCCTTCCTGCTGGCCACTGTTTCCCTGCTATAATCCGAGAAAATAGCAGACCGTGTCCATCAAAAGTAGGATGTGCATTCCTGGCCCCATTCATTATTGCTTGTCTGTGGTTGTAGTGGCTGGAAAAAATTTTTGGTTTGAAGCTGCTGTTAGCCTGTCTTATATGGTGAGCTCTCCCAATTGGCATCTCATGTCCTGCCAGAGTAGGAATACGTTTGCGACAAGTGTTTCTGGAGAAAGGATATGGCATCAGTACCTTCTACTGACTCAGATAAGCCTACCAATCTCATGTTGTTTCTGCGGCATCTGTCTTCCCATATTGATTAGCTTGGTCTGTAGTTTTTTAACCTCGCATGCCTGTTTTTGGACATTGCCACGGTCTGCATGAGCTGCTTGCTGGATGTTATCAACCCAGGACTCTAGATGGCTGACAGACTTGCTCTGTCTTTCCAGTATGTCATGCACATACTGAAGACTGATCATTGCTTTTTTTTATCCCAAGTTCCAGCTGTTTAAGTTGAGGTATGAAAATGTTGGTCAGCACATCTGTAACGGCCGCAGAAATAAGAGAGATCAGTCGGCTTTGTTGTTAGAGAAGCATTTGCTTAACGCTTTTCAAGATGGCGGCATCAAATTCTTCCAGCAAGATAGATGTGTCTTTGTTGTTCTTTTTGAATGGTGAAAATTCAGTCTCTAGTTTACGTGATGATTTGGACGGAGTTGTCATATTGCTGCTATCTGAAATCTGGTGAGGAAAAGCTTTCAAAAAGTAGTAAAAAACACAGTTGTCGGCGGAGCTAAACAATTGGTGTGCCGCCATTGATGTGTCACAGGAACTCTCTCTATTTATTTCTCTTTTATTTATGTATATATTATTTATTTTATTATTTAGCTGCTCAAGACAATGCTTTATTTAATCATTAACATCATTTAAACCATTTTTACCTTTTGTCTTTGACTTTGCAGGTTAAGTGGTGCATCATCATCTTTAAATGAATTAATCAAAAAAAGCGTCAAATTGAGTCCAGGCCAACCAGCACTGTACCGACTTTACACAACAAGAAGTGATCTAAACAAGGATGGCAAGATCAGAAAGTGGACATTTGGACAGAAATATGGAAAACCGGAAAACAAAACAGTCCTGATGGTAGGAGAAACTGGAACAGGCAAGACCACTCTGATCAACACCATGGTCAATTACTTTCTGGGGGTGAGTTTTGAGGACAAAGCGTGGTTTGAAATCACAGAAGAAGAAAAGAGAGCTCAAACAGAATCTCAGACATCAGAAGTCACTGTTTATGAGATCATTTCTGAGGAGAAACTCTCCTCTCTTACCATCATTGACACTCCAGGTTATGATCATACCAGGGGAATAGATAAGGACACGGAAATTGCTCGAAACTTACGTGATTTATTTCTGCATGGTACTGGAGTGAAGGATCTTGATGCTGTGTGTCTTGTACTGAAGGCATCTCAGAACAGAATCTCAGAGAATCAGCGCTACATTTTTGAAGCAGTTCTGTCCTTATTCGGTAAAGACATAGAGGACATTATAGTGCTGTTTATTACACACTCAGATGGAGGACGACCAACAAATGCTCTGGAAGTCGTCAAGGAAGAAAAGATCCCCTGCTGCTACGATAATGATGATGAACCTGTTCATTTTCTTTTCAACAACCGTCAGTCTGAGAAACAGACAAAAAAATATGAGCATGTTCTCAAATCATCTTGGGAAATGGGGGAAAGTAGTATGGAAGATTTTTTTGAATTCCTAAAATCACGACAGAGAAAAAGCTTAACTATGACTGTAAGTGTTCTAAATGAGCGCATCCAGCTTGAGGCCTGTGTTGAGAGTCTGAAGGAACACATCAAGTTCAGGGAAGGGAAGCAGAGAGAACTGACTGAAGTTCAGGATGCTCTGAAACTGAACAAAGAAATGATTGAGAAGAATGAAAATTTTCCTTTCACTGTCACGACAGTTCACAAAGAGAAAGTCGACATTACAGATGATTCATGGCGGAACCGAATGGTGACCTCCTGCAAAAAATGTGAAATGAACTGCCATGAATATAATTGCTGGTTTGCCAGACGTGCCCAGTGGTGTGAAGTTATTTTACATAATCACTGCATGGTGTGTAAGTGCCCCTACTCCACACATGTCAGAGAGGGTAAGAAATATGTAACAAAGAAGATGCAAACACAAGTCACATTTGAAGAACTGAAGAAGAAATATAGTAATAAAAATCAAAAAGAAGTCACTTATGATGAAATTGCAGTGAAATATGTGGAAACAGAGGATAAAAAAATCAAAGAAGAGATGACAAACTTACAATGCAAGTTGACAACTCTCCTGGCTGAGAATGAAGAACAGAAGAAGAGCTTGGTGAAAGACGCCTATATGACAGTCATAAAACTGTCTGAGATCGCGTTAAAACCAGACTCTGCCATCACCATTCAGTACCTTGACTTCCTGATTCCTCGAGTTGAAGAAGTTGGAGCTGCAGGGTGGGCTCAGAGACTGAGGGACATGCAGAGAGCAGTTAAAGAATCAACTAACTCTGCAGTGGGGTATTTAAGGAAATTGGGGGATTTCTTTACTAGAAAATAACAGGATTTGGCTTTAACACTGTAGTAATGACACAAGGAGCTCATAATCAGAAATGCAGTATTTGTATTTAGCCCATGATTCATTGAAAAGGCAGTGTTTAGATTACAGTTCCTCTCAGCAGAATATTTTCAGAATGTCCATTCATTAAAAAGTCATGTGCAGCATGAGGCAAACCTGTAAGACTCTTTGGAAACTGTAAAGTTCTTGTTACAGCAGGAATAGACTGATTAACTGATGTCACAAGTCAAATGTTTTGCTCAGCATTACAAAGCTCTTTATTTAATGATACTTTTACTTCAAGTGTATTTGCGAGGAAAGAAATATTTAGCTTTTATTCAGCTTTCATTTAAGTTCCACTTTTTATTCAGTTGCATTTTAGTGATTGACATTTTATTGTCCATTCCAGTTTTGTGTTTATTTTCATTATGAAACTTTGGTGACAGCGTCATTACTGCATTTTCATTGGTCACACCTCTGAATTTGGAGCTTTAGCACTTTATTTTTTGTATTTATTTATTGTTGTTAATTTTCACTTTCACATTTTTCAAGTCTTTTTTTTTTAGAAAGATTTTTTTTTCTTCTACTTGATTCATTATTTCACTGAATGTGTTTACTACTCTGCTGTCCTCTGATGCTGATGTCTAATATCTCGTGACATTTCTGTGTATGTTGCCTGTTGTGGAAAAATAGTTCTTTCTCAAATATTTTCAAAATAATTTAGCAAAAAAAAACAAACAAAAAAAACCAATGTATTTGGTCCTGTTCTCTCCTATATATTCTCTCCTGTTCTTTTCCTGGGTTTTCAGAAATGAGTGTATGTGACTGGGGGTGTGGTAGCTGGTTGGGAAGTTCAGGAAAGAAAGCATAGATTTCAGATCATATCAAACTTACTGCCTTTAGGATAGCAGCCATAGACTCACTGCTCTCTTTTGTCCAATGGCATTACAAAACTGCATCTGTTCTATTTGCTTCTTCTCCGTGTAAGAGCTTAATTTTACTTTCTGAAAGGCTCTGTATTTCTCTCAGAATGTATTAGAAATTCTGTATCTTCCTTTTACTGTCACAAGTTTGTAACCTTTACTAGATTTATTACAGGAGAACCAGTTTGGGCCAGTCCAGAGAAAATGCTGTCTGTAATCTGCATGTTCTCCTGCTTAGAGATAAAGAAAGGGAGAAAAAGGAAGTGGCTGACCTGTTTAATGAGTCTATAAAACAACATCTGGAATAAAGCCAAATTTCTCCAGTGTTTTCACAATTACCTTACAGTGCCGTTCAACATATTTATCAACATAAAACAGAATCTATAAGATAGATGGAATAAATAAAGTGGCCTGTGAGTGGAAGTATAATTAAGATGTTTCTAATAAAGTGGCCAGTGAGTGGACGCATAACTGCAATGCTGGAAAAATTTAGTATTTTGTAAAATGAGAGAAATATGATATCCTGTGAAATGAGAAATATATTACATGTGATTTACAGTAAACATTATATGTACTAGAAGAAATATATTTATATCTGCTCATTCAAATGTGGGTCCCACATGTTCACTGAAGCATGTATGTTCGTCTTGAGTGATGTCTGTGTTGCCAGTGTCTGTACTGCATTACTGGAGTTACTGCCTGCCATGTGCAGCTCCCAGTACAATTTTCTTCAGCTGAGTGATGTAAAAAGTGTGGTGTCCGGAATATCGTCATATCTTTAAGCACTTTACTGGAGCTGGAATATAGAAAATAATCTGCAAGAAAGCATAATTGTTGGCTTGCTCTGTGATAGATACTATGTATATTTCATCAAAACAAGATGTTCGCCCCTTCCAGGTATGCACATTATAAATAAAACTGCAACTGGCATGTATTAAAGTAAATTAAAGGTAAAGTAAAACAAATAAAATTACTAAAACATCAAGTTGGCATTATGGTTTTGTCCAATGATCTTTTTCATCAATATATTATAATGACTGCAACTGATCACCATCATGTCTGCAAAAAACAAGTTTTCTGTATGTGCAATTTCACAACAGATAGTTTTGCTAAATTTAAGATCGAACAAAAAAAAACATTAGTAGGCCTATGTAAGTGCAACATACAAGAAATGAGGCAGTGCAGATAAAGCAAAAGAGTAAAGCAATAAGTCAGACAAAATAATAGCAGGACTCTGTTTACACCGACCAAAATGCAGGCTTAACCCAAAACATCCTATACTATATGAAGCACATATCCACTTATAAGAGGCACAACCTTCATCCCAATGAGACTGAAGTTAACTGAAATGTATACAACAATGATGAGGAAAAACACTACCGGAAACTGAGTAAGGTAAACTGTGAATCATTCTAGACTGAATCAGACTGCTTTGAAACCATTCGAAAATAACAGCCTCTACTCCTTAAGGGTCTGTTAAAGCTTGACAGAGGTAATGCCAGAAAGCAATGGATGTTGAGCAATAATTGGAGAGCTAAGAAATGTAAATAAGGTGCAGAGAGGAAAGAGTACTGAAAGTTCCTACTTAAGTGAAAGTAATATTATAGTACTGATAATTTGCTTGAGTACAAGAATTCATAAAATAAATCACTCCAGTAAGAGTAAATAAATTGCTTACTGGAAAATTACTTGAGTAATCAGGTTCATTGTTTGTATATGTGCAATCACAACTTGAAACTATTTCAATACACTCTGCTAGTGCACAATTACACATCTTTATGGGAACCATGTACCAGGCATTATAATACTATATAAATTTCATGCCTACTTTTTAACTAATATAACATTATAATGACTTTTATATTTCATTATTTTAATAATGTGTAGTAGTCAAAAGCAGACTAAGACTGAGGAAAGTCTGTTTTTTCTGTTTATTTAGTTTAGTTAATATCTGTTGAAGATGCCACAGTGTGTGACTCCTCTGGGGAAACCCCATTTGGACCTGTCCATTCTGGATTGGCTCATTCCAGCTCCTACTCCTTTCTGGCTCCACCCCTCCATCATTACACTCACCTGCAGCTCATTCATGGACGTATATACTGTATTGTGTGGTCTTACTGAGTAAAGTCTCTGTTTCAGTCGTGTTGTATGTGTAAGTGTTCTCCTGTATTTTGAACACTGCCTTGTTATCTAGTTTTTTGATTATGGATTTAGTGCATGTATACTCGTACTCCTATTTCTATCGGATTTCTCAATCTGTTCATGTGCGAGAACAGATGGTGGATGTTGCGAGATGGCAGCGAAACACTGTTGGAGCAGTGCTGAAATCAAACACAAAATTCAGTAATTAAGTAAGTAAGTTTTATTTATAAAGCACTCTTAAAACAACTTGCGTTGACCAAAGTGCTGTACATCAAATCAGCACACACATAAACAACACAAGTAAGAGATTAAAATATAAAAATAATAAGAAGAGTCACATAAAATAGCTAAGAAAAAGTGAATAAAAGAGGTAAATGAGTAAGAGTAAAAGCAAAATAAAAAACAAATAAGTAAAAAAAACTTAAAACACAGACTTTAACATGTATAATTAGCACAGCCACTCACTATTCAAATGCAAGTTTGTATAAATATGTTTTTAGTCTTGATTTAAAAATAGCGATTGAAGGTGCTGGGCATATAGTGGGCAGGAAAATGTTCCATAGTCTCGGAGCAAAGTGAAAGATAACGCCAAGATTTCTCACAGAAGTCTTTACACATGGGGACAAATGACCAAGACACCATTAATGTAATGTAAAATAATAATCTCTGACTTGCCTTCATTCAGCTGGAAGAAACTGACAGCCATCCACCTCTTAATGTCCTCAAGACAACTGCTGAGAGACATTAAAGAGCCATTGTCATTAGGTCTAATGGCAAGGTAAAGTTGTATATCATCAGCATACAGATGAAAGCTGATATCGTGCTTCCTAATAATTTCACCTAATGGCCACATGTATAGTGAAAAAAGGAGGGGCCCTTATATGGACCCTTGTGGAATGCCACAAGAGACAGCAGAGAAGGAGAAATAGCTGGCAATATTTACTGAAAAGGTTCTGTGCTTAAGATGTGAACCAAGTCAGTATCTGTCCCCGTAACCCCACCCACTTTTCTAGGTGACCAATGAGTATGGCATGGTCAACCATATCAAAAGCAGAGCTTAGATCCAATAACATGAGGATGGCACAATTTCCTTCATCAACAGAAAGTAATGTCATTTGTCACCGTGAGGAAGGCAGATACAGTGCTGTGCATCACCTAAAAAATCTCAAAAATACTATTACTATTTAAAAATGGTAAAAGCGGAGAATATACAACCTTCTCCAGCAATTTAGCTAAAAATAGCATCTTGGAAATTGGCCTATAGTTACTAACCACTGTAGCATCAATGTTATGTTTTTTAAGCAGAGGTGTAAACACTGCATCTATAAAACAGCACCAGTGGTTAAAGAGGTATTAATGATGTTCAGGACAGAAGTTAAATATCAATTGTCTCCTTAACCAGATGTGGGGGCATAGCATCAAGTAGAGAAGTTGTCTGCTTTGTGTTCAGCACTAAATCTGTTAATCCAGAGATTGAAACAGCCTCAAACTCTTTAAATACAGCTCGGCATGGTGGGGGAAGTGAAATCTAGACCCAAGGAAGTAATGCTAGACCTAATAGTCTCAGTTTTTCCAACAAAAAAAGTTTAAGAACTCTTCACATCAGCTAGGAGAAGGATCAAGTCCAAACTCCAGTGAAGGTTTAAGTAAAGTATTAATTGTGCTGAGCAAAACTTTAGATCTGTTGCAATGTTTAGCAATAATGTTGAAAGTATGCCTCCCTAGCGGACTTAACATCTAGCTGATAGTCAATCAGGCAACTTTTTAAAATATCAAGACTTGCTTGCTTCTGCGTCTTTGTTCCATTTCCTCTCCGCTCTCCTACAAGCCTGTCTAATTTCCTGAGTGGCTGCATTTAACCAGGGCTGAACTTTTGGTTTGAAGTGTTTAAATCTCATAGGAGCACCAGTATCCAGAACAGTTGAACAGTTATGATGAAAAGAAGTGACTAAATCATCCACATTATGATGAGCCTGACCATGATTGGGCGATTTTAAAATGTCTGAAAAGGCTCTGGAAAAATCATTAGCTGTGGACAAACTAATATATCTTGACCATTGCCATAAAACAGGAGCACGGAACTGTGCAGCTGTTGAGCTGAACACTACTGGCCTATGATCAGAAAAATTAGCCTCTTCAATATCTAATTTGTCAATGTCAAAACCAGTTGAAAGCACCAAATCAAGTGTGTGGGTGGGTGGGCTCATGAATACGCTGAATAAAACTGAAAGAATTAAGTAGCTGCGTAAAATCATTGACCTGATATTTATCAGGGCAGCAGACATGAATATTAAAATCACCAAGAAACAAAACTCTGTCAGACATTGGAATTCAGCAAATTCAGTGATAAAATCTTTGGGTGGTTTAGGAGGTCTGTATACTATTGCACAGAGAAAGGAAAAAATAGAGTGAGCTTTAAAAACCGGTGCTTCAAAACTTTTGAACGTCCTCACATTCTGCATTTGA